ATCAATCATCATGAAGCTGCGAATCTGATTTCTACAGACAAAATATGTCTCGATTACCATCCGCAGCTGTCAAAATCGCTCAAAACATCTCTTGCTGTTTCCTCTATCGTTCTAAACTTCAGCCCAAGTAATGTCTTCTCCTTACTTGTGTCAAAGATGATCGTATACTTTGTATCCCCCGGGAAAGGGTTTAGGTAGAAAGAACTCTATCGAGGGGAGGAGTCCAAGGAATTCCTTCGCATCCGAGACGTTTGCGCCCCTTCCTGTGAAATCTACTCCCTTTAGGGAGCAAAACGTCAAAATTAAAAGCCGGCGTGTTCCTGACGTTCAGAATATCGGAAATGATGAGGTTTTCCAGACTAATTTATGCGCTCGTGGCATGTCAGGGAACTGAATATCTGAAGGATTGGACAATGATTCTGGTTCCTCCAGCAGGTCGACCAGATTCCGCCATGATACAACATTGCGAAGCCTCTCCTCCAGCGAGTGGGTGGGCTTAACCTCGAAACGACGCCCAGGTCCAAAACGGCGGTCAGGCTCTAACAATACCTCCTTAACAAAAAGAGGCACCTGGGGCAAATAGCAACACGCGATAATTTTGAGACGCAGGGTGATGCGCGCAAAGAGCTCTGGTCATCCTCATTGCTTCGACGATCTTTTCTATCAGCTCAAGGGGGAGTTCGCATCTGAGTCCTGCTGTTAATGTTAATTACAGTAAGTGACCTAGTATAGATGTTTACGCACCACTTTGAGGGGTGGCAGATATTTCTTTCTGTGATATCAAGTTAGGATGGGCCCAACAAGTCGTTACGATACGCGCTCAGCAGTCACGATTAGCCTGAGCGGGGTATTACTCGTAACCGTAACTAGAGAGTGTTGGAACATGTTACGTGAGACATCTGCACGACTCGGAATCAGCAACGCTTATTGGGAGTTCTGTTCAATATATTTTCAGCTTATTTTGCGTAAAATATTATTTCATCTCGTAAATCACGTGCATCGTGTACCTCCCTACCTCTCCCTGTCCATCAACGTCAACTAGTCCTCTCATGCGTCGGTGAACATCATGTTCTAGTCGAGTGATTGTCGAGATGTTCGGAGTCGTGGCGGCTCTACGGTCCAGGTGCGTGATAGATTACTGTTCTGTCTGCTGTTTTCCTGATATACGTTCTGTCTATGCAAGCTCGCTTGACGGGAATAATGATGACAACCTTGTTCTCAAAACAACCTTTGTATGAACTTTGCTACGCGATGAGTTTCGTGACAGAGTTCTCTTTCACAGTGTTCCCGAAGGCTTATTCAGATTTGTTGCCATTAGTAATCCATGATTCCAGATTATATATCCACTTGCATTGCCAGTACGACCTCCAGCCCTCTATGCCATCAATCAGTCCTCCCAGCAAAGTTCTCGTCTCCGGTGCCAATGGCTACATTGCAATATGGATCGTTCGTACCCTGCTGGAAAGAGGCTTTGCAGTGCGAGGGACGGTGCGCAGCGAGGCGAAAGGCGAGCATTTGAAGCGCACCTTCAAGTCTTATGGAACCAAGCTGGAAATTGTTGTGGTCGACGATATCACCAAGGTGCGCCTCTATCGTTCTCGTTAATGAGCAGATGCTGACAGCCAAGACAGGATGGAGCCTTCGATGAAGCGGTCAAGGGGGTGGATGCGATCGTTCACACAGCGTCGCCCGTCCAGTTGAGCGCGCGCGACCCCCAAGGTGTGTACTGCCTTCCTGACTGTCCTTTTCTGATCTCATTACATCCAGAGCTTATCGTACCCGCTGTGAAGGGCACCCTAGGCATGCTCACCAGTGCCGCCAAATATGGGTCCGCATGTATTCACTGACTTCATATCTTTGTCGTTTAACATCATGCAGATCGTCTGTACGGCGTATCGTCGTCACATCCTCGTGTGCAGCAATTATACGATCGGAGCCGGGTACTATCACCTTATCAGAAGTCGATTGGAACGAGCAATCACCAAAGGAAGTAGAAGAAAAAGGCCTAGATGCATCTCCTTTTTCAAAGTATCGCGCATCCAAGGCGCTGGCAGAGAAAGGTAACGTGGCTTTCCTGCACGAGGTGCACATGCTGATGCCGACATGAAGCGGCTTGGAGTTTCTATGAGGGACACAGGTCGGAATTTTCATGGGACCTAGCGATGATAAATCCACCGTGGGTATTTGGGGTAGGTGCTCGCCGGGGGCCTTTGAATATCATCTAACTCCTCTTGTCAGCCTTTCATCCACGACGTGCCCAATCTCAACGCTCTCAATACCACTTCAAAAGTGTGGTACGACGCTGTAGTCCAGCAGGATCATGGTGGGCTATCTCCAAATGCGCTACTTGTACAACCCGGCCACGGTTGGGTGGACGTCCGTGATCTTGCCGAAGCTCATGTCCGAGCATTGGAGGTTGAAACTGCTGGCGGAGAGAGGATCCTCGTCTCAGCTGGGCCGTGCGTGTGGCAGGACTGGCGTAAGTCTTTTTTGTATGCCTCCGAAAGACTAAGCTGATCCACAATCGCAGTTATTGCAACGCAGTCTGTCTCGACATCTCGAGTTCTACCTAAACCTGTTCCCGGGGATACGAAGTATGCGATCTTCTTTGACACAAGCAAGGAGAAGAGGTTACTTGGGCTCAAGTTCAGGACGATGGAGGAAACAGCGAGAGATGTTTTGAGCGATCTTGACAGCCGTGGGTGGTAATCGAGACATTCTGTCTGTAGAATTCGGATTCGTAGCTTCATGATGGTTGATTTATTTCTCTGCCCAATAAGTGTCGACTTACAGCGACCAGCCTATCAATCGCTCTTTAGCTCATATTCCTCTTGTGCACAATGTGAGGGTTCCCGACTATGACGCAGAGAATGGTAAAGTATCACTTGTGTCAAGGATCGACAACGCGTGCCTACAGATATAAGACCATTCGTGCTAAACAGCTTTACTCCGTGATACATTTGACAATCTCAACTAGGGCCGCTCACATGTCGGTCCGAATTATGAACACTGTATCCCAAGAAAATGTATCGCCTCAGGTACAAACACTGCCATCGTCTGGATAGCATGCACCATCGTAGACCAATCGCAACCGAAACTTAAAGTTCATACAAGACTGCTTGTTTCCCCGCAAACAAAAAGGGTACTCGTCAATATTCTAATCGAAGCAATCCTCTATTCGCAAAAGCAGTCCACTTCAAAGAGCCTTTAGAAGTGATCACAAGCGCCGAGATAGAGAAGCTCACCCCATTCAATTACTAGCTTGTTCCCAAAATGTTTTAGCCTCTTTTTAAGCAGCCGCGCTGACAACGCTTTTCGCCTCACCCCAAAGTCTCTTTCCATGTACACACGTATGATGAACCTTGTCAGCTCCGGAAAGAGCTGTGATGTGCGCTCTGCCAGCTGCTTACATTCAAATGACTGGCCCGCCGCAATTTTATCAGCCTCTTCGGGGCGCGTAGCATAAAAGAGCATCGTGAGAGAAGTCATTTTCGGAGCTGGTGGGAAGACCTCTATGACCCTACAGCACCAGTTCATTGAGAACACCAGTCGAGAGGACAGAACCAGTGGGGTAATGGAAAATGTCAGAGACATCAATGAAGGAAAGCCTGATTTGTGAAGTGCGGCATTGTTTCCCAGCCATCAGAAACTGTTGATAAATGAAGAAAGATTTATAAGAGATATGGGGGCTACGCACTAGTCTCTCAATCAGATGGCGGTTGGATGATTAGCTCCTGGAGCGACTCGCAGGAAAGGGTGAGAAGGCGGGCGAACGCCTTCCGGGAGAATGGAACGCTGTCTTTGTAGCATATAAACTGTAGATTGGCGGGACGTGACACTGTCAGTATGTCGTCAACCAACCAGTCCATTGATATTATGCATTCATCAAATGATAGTCTATGAAGGTTCGTCATGTCACCGGTGAAGACGGGGGACTGTCCAGAGCCAAGGCCCGCCTCGTGGATGTCCATCCCTTTGATAGTGAGAACTTCTATCGGGGGTAGGAGTCCAAAGAATTCCTTCGCATCAGAGACGGTCGAAAACTTTCCCATAAATTCTATCTCTTTTAGGAAACGAAACTTGGAGATAAACTGCCGCGCTTCCGGTGTGCAGGCTGTCGGAAGTGATAGATGTAGCGAGGTCTTCCGGACTAACTTATGAACCCGCGGCATGTCAGGGAGCTGAATATCTGGAGGATTGGGGATAATTTCCCGTTCGTGAAACACGAATGGCCATGCTGCCACCTGGTCAACAAGGACGGACTTTACGCCAGGTTTAAATATGACCTCTCTGATGTAGAGAGGTACCTGGGGTAAACAGGATCCTATGTAACACCAACGGGCGAAATCGTTGTCGTACCGAAAAGTTGCAGTCGAAAAAAAAGATATCGTAGGGAAGCTGCACGCCACGATTTGGAAATACACGATGACGCTAGTAAGGACTCCTTGTCGTCTCCGTTGTTTTTGACGATTGTGTCCATTAGCTCGAGGGGAAGCGCGTTTGCGAGTCCTGTTGCCATATAAATGGGTGGACCTCGCTGGTATTCATGCTCACGCACCACTCTGAGGATTCATTATGTCTACCACTTCTTGTTGCGACATCATGCGTTCTCAGCGTATAGCACGTTAGAGCTGAGCCTTTAAAGTTTGACGGGCGCAAGAGGATGATGGTCAAGAGTCAGCAGGGCCACGTGTAACTGTCAGAAAGAAAAGCTGTCGACAGATCACGGAAATACCGAGATTTTCACAAAGGAATGCGAAGACGTTATCACGCCGTAGTAGGTGCAATTCACCAACTGCAAGAATTCGATCTAAGCCTACTGCATGAAGTCTCTCCAATATCTTTTGCTTGAGGTGGTGAGGATCCGCCTGAGAAAAGTAGTAAAGTCTTCTTCCTCCATGATTGCGGATTGCAGTGGCGAGTTTGATTAGCCTCACACTGACAGGCAAGATAAAGACTTATCGACTCCTGGCTGCGACGGAGAGAGCTCCTACACGTTAGCCTTATGGTCTAGTCGCATGATTCCTTGTTTGGGTGCCCAGCCGTTAACTCGTATCGAGGAGGTCCTGGGTTCAATTCCCAGTGGGGGCCCTTTTAAATCCGTCTACTCATGGTTATGATTGAACAATGAAAGTTGAGCATGGTCCAACCACGGATGTGAAATGATCCCCACATTACAAACATTGAATCCGGGTGGCCTGAACCATTTTTCAATCCAATTTAATCTTGTCATCCAATGAATTTTTGAGGCTGGAACTCAAGGAACTTCCAGGATTGAGTTCGTCTAGTTCACGATTCTGTTCATACTATTTAGTGTTTGGTTTTTCAGTTATAGCTTCAACTTTCCGTAATTGCATTAGATCTATGTATAAGAGCCCTCTAGAGACCTTCCGGTCCATCTGTTGATCTACATATCTACAACGAAATGTCTGATTATTTTCAATGCGGCTATTCAGCGGAATAAAAGGGATAGTCTATATATCCTGTCGCAACTTCCCCTGTCAAGTAAAATGTCGAACGATTGTACGGCGTAAGAGGTAAATTCTTCTTTAGTTTCACGGTGATATCAGGCTGCAGAAAGGCTACTATCAGTCTCATTGACCACGTTGAATCGTACGGATGAAGACCCACGTTCGAGATGAAGTATCGCCCGAACGCGATGATGTCACCTTTGGTATCAGCAGTCTCCATAGCGCTCTTCCTTGTATATGCACCCGCTGAAATGAGCGGCCTCGGTGCCCATATGTCGCGTATAAAATCATTCGACTCGCGCGCATCTATTTCATCCAGACTCCTAGTCGTGATGCCCGTAACCCTGGGCTCCACTAGGTGGATGTACGCGAGGTCCGGGTGTCTCTCCTTGATCTGGGAAACATAGTACGAGAAAGTAGGGACAGGGTCTTTCATGCCCATGTCCATGAATGTCGACCACGGGCTCATCCTGACGGCTGTGCGCTGCCCGCCAACGGCCCTGACGACGGCGTCGATGACTTCCAACCCAAATCGAGCACGATTCTCGATGCTCCCCCCATATTCATCCGTACGCTGGTTGGACACATCCTGGAGAAACTGGTCGACGAGGTATCCGTTTGCACCGTGGATTTCGACACCGTCGAAGCCAGCCTTGTTCACTGCATCAGATGCTGCACGAGCGTAGAGCTCCTGGTACTCGTGTATCTCGTCGATGGAGAGCGCGCGCGGGGTTTCGGAGGAGCGGATTTTGATGGGGGAAGGACCAACGAGATCGAGAGAAGGGTCTTCTTCTTTGAGAGTGGAGTAGTCCGCGGCACGTCCCAAAGCCCAGAGCTGGCAGAATATGAAACTGCCTTTGGCATGGACAGCGTCGGTTATCTGTTGCATAGTGAGATGAGTTTGAGAAATGGAAATTCGACACACCTCCTTCCACGCGTCTAGCTGTTCTTGTGTCCACAAACCGGGTGCGTGTTTGAAAACTCCGGCTTTCTGGGCGATGAAGGCTCCTTCTGTGATGAGGAGGGTGCCAGAATCGCTACCTCTCTGCGAGTAGTACTCCTTCACGACGGAAACGTATGGAACATGGCCTTTCTCCGAAGCCTTGTTTCGCGTCAGCGGGGCGAGCACGATACGGTGGTTCAGCGTAAGGTTGCCCACTTTGATAGGCTGGAAGAGTTTGGAATGGGACATGGTCGATAAATGGACCACTGGACGCGGCGGCTTTAATAGTACTGTCGCGCATGCGGATGTTCTTTTTCTTATCGAGTAAAATCGACCTGCCGTTAATCGGTCCTTCGTTTAGTAAGGATTTTCGGACGTTTCGTTCCGATGTTGTCATAGACTTTGGCCAAGTGTCTGAAGGAAGTGCGATTGACCGGGAGTCAGTCGTGCTCGGAAAGTAGTCGGTTTACTTTTTTCGTAGGCCAGGCTGCGGCACTGCGGATACAGCAAATGTATATCGTGGCTATACAGCGCTGCTCCAAAAGGATCAATAATGCTTTAGTCGCGTCTTTCAGCTTCAATTAGAACTAGACCGACCTCCTGAGTATGGCTATTTGCGAGCCTGCTATACTGTTGCTCGGCATATTCACATGATTGCGGGTAATGCGTGTGCAGATTCGTGAACGAACTTTTGTTAGATGAGATTGTCTAGTCGGCCGACTGAAAGTAAGGGGATATGTAGGCTTTTAGTCTTGTCATTCAATCGCCCTTCTTAGTTTCAGACAAGCTTATTTGACGCCACCTATTCCTTGTCGTTCTCATGCTCGAGAGGAAGAGCACTGCAGTGACGCGATGAGAGGAAAGCGAGAGGCATATTACTTGCAAATGAAAGAAAACTCTTCATCCTCGCAACGAGCATGCTGAAAAGGACGCAATACCAGTATGAGCTCGTCTGAGGCAGAGTGGTACTCAGATATCAAGTCTGCAGCATCAGTTCGGTAAGCATAGAGACCTTCGTTGAAAAGGCGTGTCATCAGGAAATTTCGGGTACGACAGATATGTGATATTCGCCGAGTGACTAGTCCAGGCCTATATGGGCTCAGTCATATCATATCCTCAGCCAATCCGAAAGAGCATACACGTTATTTGGCGAAACCTTTCGAACGGGTACTTCGACCAAGTTAAGCACCCACGTTCTTCGCGTCAAGTTGTCCCAAACAGCTGCAATAGCCCAGTAAGAAGAGGGAATGCTTGGATCATGCACCCAGAGCGATGCAATACAGCTTTTTTGTTACACGCAAAAAGGTCATAAAAGAGTTCGACGTGGTAGTAAGAAGGAAGTCGGTTTCGGCTAACTCCGACACGACTCTTACCGCCACCACCATCACCGCCATCGTGATCCTTCATGCAATGAACCAGCGAATAGGACGTGTGCATACAGCTCGACCTCGCCGCACGAATGTGGGATTTTTCATAGCAAATTGCAGCTCGGCCCAACGCTACTAAAATCTGGGTAGTACGCTAGCGGGAAAGGGCGAGTCTTTATTTCACTTGTCCTGGCCTTTTTTGACAGCATATCCAGCTCACCTGGCTCGAACAACTTATTCATGGCGCTTGAATAGTATTCTCGAGTGTTACATTAGGCCCGACCAGCTATCGAAACAAGTCCGCTTGTCCTGAGCTGCATATACCTAGGCAACGCGCCACATTGAAATACGACATCCGACTTTGTAGGGAGCGCGCGTTGTAAATTGGCATCGCTGCGGTTGATGGCCAAGGGATTTTCTGTATGGGTCATTTGCGCTCCTTTGGCTTCATATGTTGTAACATCTTTTTACAGGAGCCTATAGCAAACCCTTTCTTCTCTCATTTTACCATGCAACTGAAGCTGTCGATACCGTGGTGGTGGTCTGATTCATTGGCTCCTTCTCGTTCCCTCTTGCCGAGTGACTCTGTCAGACACCCTTTAGCATGTTTGACGGTAAATGCTGCCAACTAGATGCTGCTGTGACGAAATATCTGTACGTTCTACTAATTCTCCTTACGATCTCAACAAAGTCCTGACTCTTCTCTAGTGATGGCGCACAGATAAATACATTTACGACAGAAATGTGCATCCAAAATCTACGAGATACTTAACTGATCGTATTCTAAAAACCATGAAAGACCAAAATGCCAGTGGGGAGAACACGCGATTCACCTTTTTTGGCCACAGTCAAAGCAATCGCGGAATAAATATTCCAAACACGACTTCCTGTTGTCCTCGGGCAAACCGGTCTGCCGAAGAAAGATATCGTCATCCTTGTAGGTACGTCGCAATTCTCATCTTCCGTTCATTGTGTTCATCTGCCCTTTCGCATCGAAATTACGTCTTCATGAGAAAAGATGACCGATGATGAGGTACTGCCTCAACCAGCGTGAGTAGTTAATTCTTCATTTCGCCTCCTCTTCTAAGCGTTCTTCAGTGCGTCCATCCTCGATGACCACGCAACGACAACATCCCACTTTGGCCTGGTTTCCATACGAGCTCAGCGTGCATCCGAGGTATCAGGCGGGGATGCGCAAGGAAATGTAAAGCTTGTCAACGCCAAATCCATCCTTTAACTGATTGATTTTATGTCTTTCTAAATACCACTATAAAGTGCGCACGACTCACTGACAAAGCGAATATAGGATCCTTCGCCTGCATCCCACCGTTCGCTCGCCCGTAAGGATGCCAAGCAAGGATGAAGTTCTTAACTTATCAGAGAACAGGTCAGAACGACCGCGAATGAAGTCCCTGGTCGAAGGGCCGGAAATACTATTGTGTCTCCGTAATGTCTACAACCAGTGCGCGTTCACATAGCTTTCACAAATGTGTTTCTTACAGATGTATAATAGCATGCCGAGCATCTAGAACAACGATACCGGCGAACGCATCCTGAGCTTCTCTGACGATGATAAGAAGCTCGGCCGCTTGGGGTGTATGCGAGCCTGTAAACGAAACGATCATCGACGTTCGATCGCACTGAGTCTGGCGGACTTTCTAGTGTGACGTTTAGTAAGGTTCCCTATTTTGATGTTGCGACCGGTCTTCAATTTGTCCCATAGGCACTGGTGCTTCTTGCCTTGGATAAATGAATTCCATGTGTCTTTCAATTCCCTCCCTTAGCTGGCGATTTGCCTAAGTTTGGTACCCGTTCGTGTCGCATCTCGGCATTGAATAATTCTTACAGGACGATGCGTGTCCAAATGATCATTGTGGAACTGCTCCGGGTGTTTGAATTGACTTGCCCAGGCACGGACTTCTGATATGATACCAAGTACTCTGGCTCTCAGATGGTCATCCCGCTCGCGAGCGGTAAGGCCGGCGAAGGAGCGCAGGTCCCATTATGTATGAAGGTGATAGAGAGGCAGGAATAGTAGCGCAGCTGGTTACTTCCACGGATTTTGTGTTCTAGCCCTCCCCGTTTCTTGAGCCGTACCCGAGGTGGCCGCCTACGGTACTTCAGCTAGAAATTCGTAAAGCAGCAGTCATGACAATTAATTTCGTCCCAACCACTGGATCTGGTATACGAGCCCTGTCCCGCTCTGCATATTCCTCAGTCTGCTCTTCCACAATTTGCCTCAGGCTCATCGCTTACTCGCAATCACTTCAAACCTGGTCCAGCCAATTAGCGGTCTTGAGGATCCACAAT